GAAACATGGGCCACTGAACCATCTACCAACTATTGATTTGCAGAAATCGACCAAACCATGGCAATTTCAAAGCGTGTGCAATGGATTTTATTGCTAAAATTCAGTCAGTTTCTTCAAAGTATCATTGTTTCATTTTGGTAGCAACATATTTTACCAAGTGGGTTGAAGATGTCCCTTTGAAAAATGCGACGCAGAAGGAGGTGATTGAGTTTGTGGAAAACCAAATTATTTTTTTGCCCCAAGCTTTGTGGGCACATCGTAACAGAAAAAGTTCAGCTACGGATTTTTCACCTAATCAGCTTACTTTCGGGCAAAATTTTGTCTTACCAGCTGAGCTTCAGAGGTGCCATCAGTCCGCATGGCTAGCACTACGGTGGAATTCGACGAGAAGTATCAGCAAAGTATGATGCAATAGTTGAAGGTGTAGATATTATCCGGATGAAGGCAATTGATCGAATGGTGAGGCAAAATGAAATGCAGGCCAAGCATTATGGTTAAAAGATGCTCTACACGTCTTTCAGGGAAGGTGATTTGGTTTGGAAAATTATTCTTCGGATTTAAAAAAATGTAGATCAGTTGGGGAAATGGTCTCCCAATTGGGAAGGACCTTACGTAATTTATAAGGAGATTGGAAATAAAGCATTCATTATAATGGACCAGGGAGGGAAACTGGTACATGATAATATTAATGCAAAATATTTGAAAATGTATTACCCTACCTTTTTCAGATTACAATGAATGAATGGTTAACAAGTTATTTTGAACCTGCCGGAGGTTCAAACCCTGCAAGGGTTTATTCATCATTTAAACCCTTCAAGGTTTTATTCCTCATCCGAGAGGGTGATGCACGGGTGGTTTTCCTTCTCCGATCCAAAATTTTTGTCCCAACTTGAGGATATCAGTTCTGGTTCTTCATCCAAGAGATCTTCAAGCTCATATCTATATCAATCTCATTGTTCCTGCATCTCTTCCAAGTCTTGTTTAGTATGAACTTTCATATCTTGTAAAGATTGGCGTTCCCGGTCTACCAAAACACACAGTCGATCGAACAATGATCTTTGTTAGGAGAATGCATTATTCCAACTCAGATCAGGTGGGATTGCCATGATGTGGTATTCTATCAAGTCCATGTGATGATCAAGATCGGGAAAATGACTGAGGATATCACTTAGTAGCTCATATTCGATGGAGATACGTTCCATTAAACAAATTACACGATGCATTGTCCTCCTGCCTCTTGAGGAGAATTTAAATTTGAAATCCAATTGTTTAAGTACTTGAATCAGGTCCTCAGCATGGCCACCAACAGGATGTGGACCTATGAAGAATGATTGCAAGGAACTTTCCCAGTTACTGGATGGAACTTGGATACGAGGAGAAGTCATTTTGGTTGGGAACTAAACGACACTTGGTAAACCATTATGAGACCTGTATGGTTTATTTATAGATGAAGAATTGGGAGGGCGGATTTGGTTTTGTGTTGATTAATTGTGCATGGTGTTTTGATCGACGAATAGAGGCTCGTTTGTTGGATCAACACGTAAATTTTATTACTTAAATAAAGTTCACATGCGTGTTAATAGCAAAGCATCTAGGACCGTTCGGAGGTCAGTCCATTTTTATTCGGACCGAGATGCCCGGCATTTTCGGTATGCTATTTGATGTTCATGGATTAGCCTTGAACATATGGACGCTTGCAGTGTTTCATTCAAGGTCTTTTGGCTCTGTCGATAATCAGCAATCAGACACCTCTCTTCTTGGATGCAACCGTCTAGAGCGGTTTGTTCTATCAGTAGATTCTCCAAATCTTTCTGCAGGTGCTCCAGTTCCATCTGTCTCATGTTTATATACTCGGTTAAGACACTTTGAGCTTGCAGTAGATTGTTCAGCCTCGCGTCGGCTTGAGTGAGGTCCTCATTCACTTTTGACAAGGATGCCTCAATGGATGCGGAATCAGCCAGGGACTAAGGCTGAGATGGACAGACTGCTGGAGTTTGGATCACCGGAAGGTCGGCTTGAAGTTCGGTGATCCATTCCATCAGTCAGTGCAAAACTGGAGTGACTGTCGACTCGGTAGGATGCTGAATCAACAAGTTGATTGCAACATGAGCCAGAGCTTGAAAGTCTTCAGGCATTAAGTTAGAAAAGCACAATGTTGCACACCAGGCTACAACTGGTAGGATGCTGAATCAACAAGTCGATTGCAACTTGTGCCAGAGCTTGAAAGTCTTCAGGCTTTAAGTCGGCAAAGGACAATGTTGCACACCAGGCTACAACTGGTCGGGCAGTTGCTGGAACTGGTACTTGAGAGATGAGAGATAGATCAAGAGTATACTGCCAAATAGACATATTAATTAGAGTTCGAAACATCAATGAGAAATTTGAGAGGTATGCTAAGATGTTTACCTGACCCTGGATGGCGGTCGCTTCGGAAAGAGCCAACACTGGGAGAATTTGTTGAAGAACCCTTGGAGGTGGCCCCCAAGGGGATAAAAAGGATTAGGGAAAATAACATCATGCTATGATATAAATTTTGAACTTACTGAAGCCGACGCGTATATGAGGGGCCATCCAACGAGTGTTGACTGGATGAGAAGCAATGTATTCTTCTACCGCTTGGCGGTCTACAAAGGCGGTTGGCATTGGTGTCGGTTGGGTTGCTGCCATTTTCTTCTTCTTTTTCTTTGGCACACTGGGGCCTGCCTCGGGGGCAGCTACCTGCCTTTTAGGAGGGGCCCGTGTTGGGACAGTTGAGCCCAGGACCAATGTCGGTGCTGAAAGAAGAGTTGGAGTTATCTAGTCGGATGTAGGGACTAGCAGAGCCCATGTGACCAACCACCACTCACAAAAGGACTCAATAGCCTTAGGTTTGGGTTTGAAAGAAATGTAGGAATTGGAAGTTATATAGGTGGAGAGTTAGGTTAGGTAGGGTTGAATGAGTTCAAGGATTACTCCCCCTTCGGGGCTCTGGGTGATTAAATATGGTCGGGTAAGAGGACCAGGAATACCTTGGTGACAGCCGAACTCACGTGCAAGGAATTGGGGTTGGTAGTTAAAGGTATAGAAAAAATTATTTTCTTTCTTATCCATTCGTTTGCTAGGGAATAAAGAGCGGGGCTTTAGGGCGGGATCCCAAGGGAAAGGGTAGGTCGGATGCGGTAAAGGATCAGGATACGGTGAAGGGTGAGAAGAGTCGGGATAGGGCCAAAAGAGTTCGGTTGCATATTGTATAAGACTGGTATATACATAAAAGCGGGAGTTATTGCGGCCATCAAAGATAATATGTTGGATGATTAGGTCGGAAGGTTTGAGGTCGGATCGTTTAGGAAACATGGCGGCAAGCGTCAAGCCGAGTGAACGGCTGGGTCCAGGGTTGATTGGCGGTCAACCATAAAAGACGATCGGGAAGTACAAACGGAGCAAAAGTTCTAAAATTCAAAAGGGGCCTAAGGCGGCTGTGTCTGGTTTTTTTTGTGTCAGAAAGGCGGGTACTGTCTCGGGCTAGACCCTAAAAAAAATTGGCACGAAAGAGGGTTCCGATCAAGTAGAACCGATCGGAAGTTATATGAATGGCTAAGTCGAGATGGGAAGGAAGGACGCCTTTGGAAGAAGAAAGAATGACATACCTCAAAGCCCAAAAAGTATGAAGGTGGTATGTTCGCGGTTGGTTACAGGGGTGCCGGCTTCACCCTGGTAATCAGAAATGAAGTTAGTCCATTCTTTGTCGGAGAGGGTTGACAATGACCAGCCGGCGTGGTTGGATGCTGGCTCTTGCCCAACAAGAGACCCGGCCACCAGGTCTTCTCCCACAATCGATAGATGAGCGATCAATGGTACTTCCATCAGCGTTGGACCTATGGAGCCACCAGGCAGCAGAAACGCCCCAATTTCCTGATTCTAGAAGGTTGCTATACCAAGGAGAACTTTTTCGTGAAGATGCAGTGGTTTGGTAGAAAGGACAATAGCCTTATCGATCCCCTAGCGTTTCCATTGTTCATGAAAATGAGAAAAAAAATCTTGGAATACCAGTTGCGGAAGCTCTCTTTCGGATCAATTAAGTGGGTTTTGATGGTATCTAAAAGACGAAAATGATTGGAAGAGGTATTTTTGATAGCTAAGAGTATTCCTTATTCGAGGGTGTCTCTCCTTCGAGATGCATCCTCGGTGGTAGTACAATAAGGGTGAATGGTTAGAGTGAGGACTTGGGATGAAACGAAAGAGGTTTCGGGGTCAGAACATTGAACGACAAGGTAGAAGCATATTGATTCGCCATGTCAGTGGAATTTTTAGGGATGAGTGAGTGTTGCTATGAAGAAGACAATGAAAGCTTGGTGAATAAAGAAGTAACCTTTGGCGGTGGAAAATGTTTTTAAAACCCCAGTGATTTGACTGAAACAGCGTAATGATTATATTGTTGCTGTTAAAACTTTCTAACCGTCACTTTTTGCGCCGATCGAGGGTGATGTTTGAAAGTCAGAGAAGGAGCAAGGAAGTTGTTGAGTACAAAAGTGACATTAGGGTTTAAGCCCAAGAAGGATGATTGGGAGGGCCAGAGATTGCCTAGTGGTGGCCAGATTCATTCGGTTGGGTTCATTGCTGGGCTCAACCGACTGGAGAGTTGGACCTGCACGCTGTAAACTCATTCAAACTTGGGCCTTGGGACGGTTGGTTGCAAGGGTAATGGACGTGAAAGACGTTTTTTACGGTTCAGATTGGTAACCGATGTGAAAGCAGTTTTGGATAGTTCAAGAGTGATAGCTGACGTGAAAGTGGTTCTGGACGTTTAGATCGATGCATATATTAGCAACTCAAATGAGAAAGAACGGGCATCTTTATTTTACTGTTGAAATATATTTTCGAATTTTAGTTTGTTATTGTTGAAATTATCATCAATATATATATATATATACAAAATTAAGAGAAATTCTAGAGCAAAACAGACTTTTCATGTTGAAATCCATAAATGTAGGTGCGAAGAGAATAACAAAAGAGAAGGTGTGAATGAAAATTAAGCCATAAAGTTATGATCGAAAATAAAATTTTTTGTCACCCGTGCACCAAGATATATATTGATATTACTGATATACAAAAGCATCTCAAGACAACAAAATTGCATCTGCCAACAACAGAGACCAGACAACAAATAACTACACAAGGGATGATGCTTTTCACAAAATCTTATAACCTAGTAACCAACCACACAAATTTATACGGTTGTATGAATATATATTATGTATTGAAGAAGGTAGAAGGCATACCAAAAAGTCACCTAAGATGCCCCTCTGCCTCCTCGTCCATCTTTGGAGTCAGCCGGAACAATGGACACTGAATCAACACAAAGTCCGCCTTTCGAATGCGTGCAGTCGATTTGCTTCATCGAAAACTTAATTTCAGTTGGAGGATCAGATCTGCTGATGGCAAACTCACCAACTTTGTATTCGATCCAACAGCCACGATGTTTGACGCCGTGGTCGCCTAAGAAGCACTCGGCTGAGGCGCATTGGCCATCAGAAGTGGACAGCCCGAATCTCACGGGCTTCACATCCCATCCATGAGTGTGATCAAAATTGGGGACACGGCGCCCAAGCCTTCGGGAGAATCGTCCAAGGTGAATCCTGAATGAAAGAGTGTATACGTCCGGTGGGAAAGGGAATTGCACTGCACCATCAACTTCAAACCACCATATTTGCTGCAAATAGGCGACAACGTTAAATCTGCAAGAACAGAGCTGTATAAAGATGTGATGGATGCCATTTCGTCTCCCAACCATTCGGCACCAATCAATCTATCAAGAGACAAAGCAGCTCAACTTCATTTATATACTCACTTTTGAAACTTTTTTCCATATTCATAACATTAACTTTTTTTTTAATAAAATCACATCAAATAACCAACTTTCTACTATTCCTAAAATTCTTTAACTTTCAAAACTTCTATATAAACGGATAAGTTTGGCATATATAATTTGCATCTGCTGTCTGTTTGAACTAATTAACTTCCCAATTTTATTCGGACATAAATGCAAGAAACCATAAATTCCACAGCCAAACTATGTGTCCTCTAGATTCAGATGCGTTAACATGAGACTGCTTTAATGTCGTTCCAATATGACACAAAAACAAGCTGAAATAAGACTAGCCCTCTTAAATAAACTATTGTCTGTAATCTGATATTTGCCTGAATTGTGATAAACATTTGTGCAGAGGGCGATTTGAAGATGGCGACATATCGTTGGAAGAAACTTTCATCAGAAGTTCATTTTCTTTGGGGTTAATGTAACTTGGATGATAGTCGAAAATATTGCTCTTTCAACAAAACACAGCCTAATTCCCAACAAACTATAGATATAAGCCAACCAATCAACAAGGTGTTGAAGTCTTCAAGTTTCTTGCAAGAAACCATTCACTCACGTAGCATTTTCATAGACAACTTACTATAGAGCGACTAAGCTTAAATACAAACCTTGATTCTTCTGTCGGTATCCAATTCCAATACCTTCGATCATCGATTCCAGTTATTGACATTGCCTTGGCTGATATTGACATGCAAGATCTTCCCGTAAATCTGTCCACCCATAACACCTGTAGAATAAGTCATAATTCAAGCTCAGAGTGCTTTAGAGAAATTAAGTTGCATTCAATAATTGAATTGTTTAACAAATATCCTTCTGATCACGCAACTTTGAAAACAACTGCAAAATGAGAGAGATGCGCATACAAGTTTCTACACTCCAATTATAAGGAAATTAGACTGTTCTTTCACCAAATTGAAGGAAGAAACATAACATCAGGAACAATAACTTCCCCAAATCTCACCGAGAAAATTATGTATTTAATTCAAGGAGTGCAAAAACAGAGCAGCCAAATACAGAGGACTGGAGATTAGAAAATCAAAATTCCATTTTGACACAAAAATAAGAAAAAACTTGCGTAATTCAACTGTTAAATACAAACAATATATACATGATACTAGCACAGAGAAATCAGACTATCAAAGCGGAGACTATTGAGAAACTTACCTTGTTTCCGTCGTCGAACGGAAGCCGGCGGGAGAGGAGCGCAAATATGTCCTTTTTGGAGAGATTTTCATTCGCATCTGGATGCGAAAGCATCTGGAGGATTCGGTGGTAATTGGAGGGAAGCTTAGACTGCCAAACCGCGTCGGATAAAGCGGCGCCACGGAAGGCGCGGTTCAGCCGAGCCAAGTTGCATATCTCCGGCGGACTAAGATAAAGGAAAACGCACGCCACGCAGTTCTCCGGTATGTCCCCTAGGCCAGGTCCGGCGTTGGCCGACTCCTTCAAGGTCAAACTCGACAGCGATGCCCCCATACGCACACAATCCACAGAAACGAACACCTACACCACCACTCCGTTACCTCGATGATAGAGAATATTCTGGTGCCGGCGGAAAATCCGATAGGATAGGGGAAGATTACTCCTCAGCCCTCCGCTGCTCTCTTCGACTCCGCCATAGCTTTTCTCAGAGAAGTTTCTTTATTCTCTTTATGTTATACACACAAAGAAATACTATATATATATAATACTTAATAATATTATATTTATGTATAAATATCATTTTTTGGAGGTTGCCAATACGTCTAGAATGCATGACATAATATTTTATATTTCATTTTCCATTTTTATTATTAAAAACATAAGATAATAATATGACGTGCGTTTGTTAGTCAAAACTTCTGAGGGTGCGTTTCTTTTGGGGTTTGGATTTTAAGTTGAATTTAATAGTAAAAATTTTGAATTTGAATAGTTGTATGATGTATATAAATAGATGTTGATGTAATATTTTGAATTTAAAATTAATTTTTAATATAATATAAAAAATAAAAAATAAGTGTTTGATTTAATATTTTTGAAAAGAAAAAATGAAATAAATAGTGAAAATCTAATTCAATTCCCATACGAACACAATTTTAAATTTTGTTCATCCAAACCCATCCAAACCGGACAAAATATCCAAACCCGACAAAATTTTAAAATATTTTATTATTATTTTTTTAAAATTAACATTCAATATAAAAAATATTATTTTTATATTATTAATATAAATTTTTATATTTAGATAAAAAGAAAATCTTCAATTTAAAACACTAAAGGAACACCTTTAGGTAGTGTTTTTTTTTTTTTTTTGGGTGTGGGTGGGGCGGGGGAGGGAGGTTTACACGACATTTTATTATTCATATTATTTTTTTTTCAAAAATATAAAATCAAATAATCATTTTTTAATATTATATTATATATTTATTTTACATTTAAAATATTACATAATCATCTATTTATATCACTTTTATAAATAAACACACTTTTTTTTTTTATATTCTACGATGTAATTAGTTGTGATATTTATACTCCATTGTTATTTATATTTATAGCATAAAAAACTAACGTGTAACGGTATACATGGATTATTTTACACTATCTTCATTCTTAATCAAAGGGGTCATTTAGAACTTTGTAGTAAATAAGAAATAATAGTATTACGTTTTGTAAAAGTAATTGCATGTGTAACGTATGTTTGTAATTTAAGTAAAAGTTAAATGTATTTTGATATTAATATACGATTACAATTTCTAAAATAAAAATAAATATTTTGAAATATGACAAATAAAAATGATAATAATACTATTTTGAATTAGTGTGAAGGGAGTATTAAATTATATAATAATTTAATCTTTTGTAAATAATACTTATAGTTTATACATAAAATGAATGAATTAAATGTGCACCAATCTAGTCAAACTTTCTTTTACTTCTCATATTATTCCGTATATGTATTCATGGTGTAGCAGCATAATTCATGGTGTAGAGTAGTTTAATCTTAGTTATGTAATTAACGTAGTGTTGACCATCCTCCCTATATATATGTATGTGTTATATAGATGAATAACATCACCAATACCTTGATTATCTTTCATGGCATCAGAGCCTCACAAAACCTAACAAGCTATACCAACATTGAATCTATGGCCTCTTTATCGAATTCTACTGTCATCCAAATCAACGCTGCCAAGCAGCTTCCGCTCAAACTCGATGAGACAAACTTTCCCTCTTGGCTATTACAAATTTAGACCTTCTTATTTGGACTTGATCTCCTTGGTCACATTGATGGCACAATTCAGCTCCCTTCAAAGATGATTTCGACCAACGAAAAGGATGGCAAAGAAGTTCCAAATTTAGAATACTCAACATGGGCAAGGCAGGATAAACTGATTATCCATGCCATATTATCATCCCTAAGTCCATCTCTTGTACCTCTAGTGAGGGCACAAACATCCTTTACGGCTATGGAAACACTCACTAAGGTTTTCTCCAGTCAGACAAGGTCGAGAGTTGCGGTGCTAAGAAGAAAGCTAGCAACAACATCGCAGGATAATATTTAGATAACTGAATATCTTCATTTGATGAAATCTATCATGGATGATCTTGCTCTTGCTCAAAACCCGATCACTGAAGGCGAACTCGTAGTCGCTATCATGACGGCTTAAATTCAGAATTTGACACTATTGCATCAGCCCTAAAGGCAAGAGAAACTGAAGTGTCATACACAGAACTTTTTGAAAAGCTTTTCGATCATGAAAACACCATTCGACAACAGCAGCACAAGGCGTACCTGCAAATCTGGTTCGAGCAAATGGAAGGCAGGGGCAACAACATTATCCTATTAAATTCAGCCCCAAAGACATTCTAACCGCGGTGGAAACAACAGAGGTAGAGGAGGTTATCATGGCAGTAGACATGGCAACAATCGTGGTAGCAGTTTGAAAAATAGAAACAGGGCAGTTTGTCAACTCTGCGACAAGCTCGGACACACAGCTAAAGAATGTTGGGGCAATTTCAGAAATAATCCAGCGGTAAATGCAACACAGTTTGGTATGACTTCATCTTCACAAGCTTGGATAATGGACAGTGGAGCATCTGCCCATGTAACAAGAGACGCCAATACACTAACAGAGTTTACAAATTTCGGGGGTCCTGAGGAGCTCACTTTGCCAAATGGTTCAGGTTTGCCTATCACAAAACTTGGTAAAACACTTTTACCCACTTGTTCTAGACCTTTGGTACTTAAAAATGTCCTAAATGTCCCTAAAATCCAAAATAACCTAATATCAGTTTCTCAGCTAACCAAGCAAAATAATGTGTCCGTTGAATTCTTACCTGAATGTTTTCTTGTGGAGGACCTGAGCACGGGGGTGCTACTAATGCAGGGACACAACAAAAGTGATCTTTACGAAGTTCCGAGACAAAGTCAATATTCAAATTGGTGCCCTAAGTTAGTCGTTTCAAATTGCTGGGTAGAAAATAAGTTGTGGCATAGACGCCTAGGTCATCCTGCCACTAAGACTTTGAATTTTATGTTAAAGTCACTTGGTTTAAGTAATAAAATTCATAACTCCAACCAAGAATGTAATGCTTGTCAATATTCAAAGAGTCATAAGTTGCCCTTTAGCGTTTCATCTTTCAAAAGCTCAAAACCCCTCGAAATTGTGTTTAGTGATGTTTCAGGAAGCCCGAATATTAAGTCTTTTAGTTAATTGTCACTATTATGTCGTATTTGTTGATCACTTTAGTTGGTTCTCTTGGATATATCCCATGCGTTTTAAATCTGATGTTAGAGAAATTTTCATCAGATTTAAGAACACTATGTAAAAGTTGCTAGGTGAAAAGGTTATTCAATTTTGTTTTTGACAATGGGGTTGAGTATCAGTCCTTGGAGGCATTTTTTGCTCAAGATGGTATCCCCCACACAAAAACGGCACCGCATATTTCTGATTACAATGGTGTCTCTGAAAGAAAGTATCGGCACATTGTTGAAACAAGTCTTACATTGTTAAAAGATGCTAATTTACCTAGTAGCTATTTGAATTATGCCTTTAAAACAGGAGTGTACCTCATAAACCGAATGATTTCAACAAGTTTAGGACAAAAATCCCCCTATGAACTCCTCTTCAAACAAAAACCGAATTATCACAAATTGAGGGTGTTTGGATGCTTATGTTACCCATGGTTAAAACCTTACAATCCAGGAAAGTTACAATCCAAGTCTACCCCTTGCATATTTTTAGGCTACGGTGATAGTCACAGTGCATATATTTGTGAGGAAATTGCCACTAAAAAGGTCTATTACTCAAGACATGTCAAATTTTTTGAAAATACATTTCCTTGTGCAAATAATTTGGACAGAGACATTGATCGAAGTGCAAGTAAAGATTACAAGGTTGTCTCCAACAGTAGTGACGCCTCACTGCTCGGGCTTGACACATGTATCATTTCTTATCCTATTCTTCCTACCAACAACACAGCACACCATACTCCCACAGAGTCATTGATGACTCCAAATATTAGCATATTCTTAACTTGACAAAAATGTGTATTACTTGAATTTCTGCATAAGAACCATCAAAATAATTCGTAATCGGCATACAATATTGATTTATATCACTAGGCATGATCCATAGTTCGTTGTTGAGATTATTAACGATTTTTGCCCTCTAAGCGGTAATCTGGAACCAGAAAAGTTAAGGCAGACGCCGCAAGCGACAGCCGCCTTCGCTCACAAGTGCCTAGAACATATTTTGAAAATACTAAGGCATGAGAGGCAAGCGGCCACCTTCACAGCCCGCAAGCGATAGCCTCTCCCACTTGCAATCGATAGTCCAGATATCCGCCGCTGCAGACTATCACCAGATTTCAACTAAGTACTTCAACTGCAGCGGTACAGCCATTCCAATTCCAGCCAGCACAAGCGAGCCGAGCCGCGCTGATGCCCTCCAGCTCTCCAGCAAGCGAGGAAGATCTGTGCCCTTAACCTTCAACGCAAGCGAAGCGGGCACCCTGGGAGTTATGGCCAGCAACTGCTTCAACAGAATAACTACCAGCAACCGCCTAACTGCCCAACGGTTGGAACTGCCTAACAACTACTTGCAACCGTCTCTTTACACCTGCTATAGATGGGGCCAGATATCTTTATGTAAAAGGATCGAATTTTTGGTGATTTCTGCATACTTTTAGCATTCGTCGTCTTCCTGTTTCAGAGAGCTCCAACCCTGTAAGGGAGTTCTCCACAGGAATGGCCAAGGGAGTAAGGGTCTCCCCTCTCCCTTGGTCACGTCTTTACTGCTTTCTTAGATTAGATTACTGCTTTCATTTACAGCTTTGTAGTTCTAATCTTTCACGCTTTCGTAGTATATAAAGAAATATCATTCACTTCTTCAAATTAAATTCTTTCACAATTTTCCACACTTATATAAATCAAGTTTAGAGAATTTCATTTCACTGGTATAGAGCGAGAGAATAATTGATTATCTAAGCCTTGTTATGCGCCAAAAGCGGTTTCAAGGTAGTTCAATGTAGTTAAGTACGCGGGAGCCTTGTCGACCTGCTTAACTACTGTGCTAAATTCAATTTTGATTAAATAATAGTAACATCAGGGGGTACAGCCACTAATGAGGCAGAAATTGGTAAAATTAACGGGACATAGACGGGGGTC